TATATATATATATTCAGTATCTTCATCTTGATACCGCTCTCAGTTGTCTACCTCATTCATGCACAAAATATATATTTAACAGACCGGTTATAAAGGCTAGGTTATCTGGGTATACGCACTGAATACTGCCCATTAAAAATAGCATCCGGAGTCATGGAGCTGAAAGGAGTAAAAGCAAATATCAAACACAGCGAATTGGCAAAATCTACAATGTCACTCCTACGTTCCTGAATGGACTTCTTCGAACACAGGTTATGTAAACATTTCCACTCGGTTGCCATGTGAGTGCATTAGGAACACGTGATAAACGTGACAACGTTTTGTACGCGTCAAAAAACTACTGGGAAGAACTACCGTGTTTTTCTATTTAGTGAACAGCAACTACTGGTCACTGGAAACTGACCGCTTCAACGAGTTGCAAACTACTTTGCTTGCAAAATTTACACAACACAGTACAATACAAAATGACAAGGGCCGCTGGAACAGATATTCATTGCATCGTTCAGCGCGTTTTCTGATAAAGCGTGTGATTAGAAAGTCTATATTGGTAATACAAGCAATTGTACTACGAAAACAAATGAGCTGGACAAAAAGGCGTTCTTACTGCCACCTGTAAAAGGTGTTCAGGGCTCGTGTGGCAACAGTACGTGAGTGCGAGCGCATTCCTGCAATCACATGTGTGCACACATTGAATTCTGGACTAGTGAACAATCTCCACGGTGACCAAGAGTCACACTGTGCATGCATACGTGAAAAGGTGAGACAAGTGACCCAGTGGGTGCTATGAAAACTATTATAGGTTATGTACATACCGTCCGGGAGTAGACTGAAAATGTCACTTGGGATGGATCGACGCACAACCAGATCAAGCAACTGAGCTTGACATTTTCCCATATGTCAAAACTCCGTACTCCCCCGAGGTTGACGATTCGCTTGGTAAGAAGTCGCTCGCGCTTGTTTCGATGGGAGCATTAGCATGGTAAACGTGCGTCCACGCACCGATAAATAGCGGAATAAAACCAACCCAACGGATTTTGTAAAGTAGTCAATCAACCGTAATACAGGACTGTTTAATTGAATGTGTGTTGCCTAAAATTGATTCGAACTTCGGGGATATCAAGGATCTGTGTGCGGCAATGAACACCCAGAGAGAATAAATCGCTCGAACAAAGCAGTGGTACACAATGCTCCACATGGAGAATGAGCAGGGATTCAGTTACAACAATGACAAAATGTGTTGAACTGATAGATAATCGTATTTGGTTCCAATTTACATGTCCGTGAATCCTCAAATAGGGACCTCGACCAGATACAGAAGACACAATACGACGGGTAAATGTGGATCGGAAGATGGGAAACACGTCACGGATACAGTATTCTATCGCACATGGTGATCTTGGTTTCAGTTGGCATACTTTAGTAAACCCGGTCAGAAGACAACACGTAACTGGAAAACTGGAATGAATGCATCAAAATAAGAAAACTGGGAAGAACGAAACAGTGCATAATCACAAGAACATCAGCATCGGAAACCTCTGACAGTTCCCGTTGTCAGTCACAGAAACAGCGCAGTTAATTGCGGTTTTGCCGACCTAGCTTTTGCGTGCCATGAGTGGGCGGTTGCCATCAGAGCAACCCACAACGGCACATCGGTGAAAATAACTAAGGTCATTAAAAGTTTCCGGTCGAACCGAACAAGACAACTAATCGGAGACAGGGCAGATATGATAATTTTGCTCTATTCTCACATCGGCAACCTTTTGTTCACTTCTTGGATTGTCCTTTTTCTTCCCAGGAAGTGTTCCATTTATCTGTTAAATTTATGCACCTATATGCTCTTTTATTACTGCATCGCTGTTATGAGTTGAACAGTTTCAGTTTTTACAACCATTAACCCTGCACTTTCGTGCACCGGTTTCCGTTGCCGTCTTTTGGTGCCACATTTGGATAAAAGAGCAGAATGAAGATTGGAATATTAAAAGCAAATTCAAGCGGAAGATGGAGAATTCACATACAATAGTGATAGGGAATAATGACTGGATGCATGAACGCCACTGTTTGCGATACCCAGCCATATCACTGTATCTTTAACCATCGGTGACCATCATCCCGAGGTCCCCAGCCAGGGAGCCTAACAGGGCCTATTTGACCTAATTTCCTGGTTTTCATACCCTCAAGGCAGGTCTTAGTTTGATTACCCTTGATCTTTTTCCATCCGCGACCAGCCTTGCCAAACATCGCTTGCCGCGGCAACCTATCTGATGACATGCGTAACACATCCCCCATGAAAATAAATATACAGGAGGGCAAAAAAACTGCGTAGATCAGTAAATGCATTGGTAAAGACACTTGATCGCATCGCCGTCTATAACCGCGGATTAGGTTCTCCACGGAGTCCTCTGCCAGGAGGTCTAATACGTTTATGTGACCGAAAGCCCTAGTCTGGGTTTTTATACCCTCATATCATATCAGTTTGATCCAATTCAGTTTTCTTTCACCGACTACCAACCTCGGCAAACATCGTATCATCCATCTAACACCGACATTATGCTGCTACCGCAATGGTCAATTCTTTGCATCATGTGGTAGCAATGGCCGAAAAGCCGCAACGTACACTTGATTCTTCACAGACAGGTGGAAGTTGCGGTATCTCGCGTTAAGAAACGCTGAGTATGGATGTTGACGTCATCTGAGATTTGTCAATCAGGCGTAATACGATCGACCAAGCAGTTGAACTATCCTGTTAGACTGAGGGCGGAGGGTGAGCCTACCCGATTTTGTAACAGCATTTTACACTTGAAGATGCAAAAAAGAAGGTTAAGCATAGCTATACGTTATCACAGTGGTGCATCAAACTGTATGATGACAGAGGCAGCAAACAAACTGTGGTCAATCGAAACAGACAGTATCCGTCCATGGAACATTACTAGCTAAGAGAGTATGGAAATACTGATTTATGACTTTGATCATTCGTTTTTTATCAGAAGTCAACACACCCATTCATAAAGATCCGAGAAGCAATTGCCCAAAAGAGGAAAAATATTCGAGGGCAAAAATTTACAGAACAATCGATTTTTTCAACGGGGGAAGAAAGGTAATGTAATGTAATGTAATGAAGTAAAAACGGCGAAGCAACGCCCGGAAAATCGGGTCACAAAAAGCGGTGAGGCAAAGACATCAACAATAGTTAGTTCACATCCACTGAGTCCAGTAATAACACCCAATGCACAAGTCAGTGCGTGCGAACGCTTGTCGTTCTTACCAGTAGCAAAGTAGCTCCCAACGCGCATGCCACGTGATTAAGTAGGATAATGAGTTGAACAGGGTATCGAGAAGTATACACGTACACATGAGAAATGTCTCTGAATTTAATGAATGAACCCTAAGCAGTGAAGGGGAACTCACATGCTTGTAGCATCTTACAGTAAGACAGACAGTAAAAACAAAATTATCCGACGAAATGTTGCGAGTAGGAGGGAAAGGCAAACAGGAAGTCAAGAACAGAAAACAGAACTGGATAAAGGATATCTGAGCAGTAGCCTACTTGTTACTACCCACCCCGTTTGATGCAAGGGGCAGTGCAGCTCTGATTATCCCAAGTGACGACCGATACAGTGTGAAATTCATTTTAGTTTATGTCTGGTTGTAGACTAAGCTAAAAAAAACCATAATACAACCAAATTTTGTGAGCGCAATATGGAAGGACCGCTCAAGAGAGAAAGTGATTTTCTCGAAGGCTCATTGAATGAGCTTTTGGCTAACCAAAGCTCAAGAGGTAAGGCAGCGTGGCGATATGAATGCTGAAGTATTTCAAGTCTGTGTCTAATTAACCGGTTCACTGGTTCAGGATGCACCAAAAAACCCGCCATTTAGTGGAGCCAGTGATCCTTAAGATTGTTTCCCTGGAGCCTGTTCGCATGTCTTTTCTCGAACGGTTTACTATCAGGGTTTGTTAAGTTCCCCTGAACAAATCAGGTGCCAGGGAACCGATCAACCCGTTAACAGCTTCAGAGATGAACCACACGTATAAAAGGGTTTAAGAAAGAGTAACTACGCGGTTTTGCTGTGATTTAATATAATAACCCACGAAAGTCAATCGAGCATTGACTGTAGTGAACGGAACAAAGAAGTACTTGCTAGTCTGAATGAACATTAAGCCATTGAGATTCCTAATTCGAAGAAGACATCATCGGAAATTAAATGTTGGAAATGAGAGTTGAAGGAAGCGATGACAAACCAAAGCCAACTGATTGCAGATACATTCAAACAAGAACCAAGAAACAAGTTTCGAATTGAGTTCAGTAAGGGACAAAGAGGCGTTGATCACAAATTCCAGGCAATCTTGTGCAATTGCACAGATCAAACCCTGTCATACAACAATGCTGTCGTCGATAGATAAGTAAGTTGGGGTGACGAAGAAATGAATGCCTTTTGTTAGTTTTTGAATGGAACAGAAGAAGAATGGCAAATAGAACAGAGGATTGATGTCACGGTTGTTGACTTTTCCAGCATAATGCACCGCAGATTGTTGAACCATTTGAAGCAAACAGGAACCCGGTTCAATTAACACACCATTTGTTAAGATCAGCTGTATTGGGAAGATCTAATCTAACAGTCAGAGTATGATCAAAATCCCGGTCCGATTCCAGACCCGGAATCGATCATCGATTATTTAATTATCATCAAGGCTACAAAAGTCCGGTGATGGTGTCAAATGGTGTGTTTGAGGATTCGTTCAGTCTGCCATAAATCTAATTTCAAGCAGGGAGAGAACAGAAATCAGCTGGGTTGTACAAGTATGCACGCTGCTTCACTTTTGAAGGCCGAAAATATATATTGCGCATGTGGTAATTGGCGTACGGTCACGGCGGTCGAACTGCGTAGATAAGTCGATACAGGATGTATGGGGCGGGAGTGAACAGGCACGAGTTGATCGCTTCAGTATTCACTAAGAACGTGATTGAGAAAAATTTTCAACGAGAATTTCACTGCACCAGTTGTGCGCGGTATTCAATCTCGAAGGAACGACCAGCGAAAACAAAAAAATCTTCCAAGAGGGTCTGAACAATATCATGAAAACAATCACGTATTCAGGTTTATCATCGGAACCAATAAAATCTTTTTTGCCTTTTCACCTTCACACAAAGCAGACAGAAAAGCGTGGATAGTTATCTGATCTAACCACCATAGCCGATTGGCATGCACTTTCCCATGCGTTAAATACGGTTCTGATGAACCGAGATTCCGGGAATATAAAAAGCATATAATAACCACCAAGATCACGGAGTTAAGAAAATTGGTAGGCAAAACATTAAGAAATTCGTTTGTGCCTTGGACATAAATCATTTCTATTTCATCATCAAAACATGACACTGCAATTCCCGCGAATCCTTGACATTAGATAGCATGACTCGTGGATAAGTTGAGACGTTTACTTTGAGGCAGACGGGTGGGACGCATGAGACCATTTCGTAGAGCGCTAACACATTCAGCGGGTAATGTAAACGTTTGGAGTGAAAACGTGAAACTCTTGCTCGAAAAACAATGGTACCACACGTCCTAGCCCCGTTCATATCTGAGATCCTTGCCCCATACAGACTGAAAACAGTGGGATCTAAAACAGAAAATCTCGATTTAACACAAGAATAAGGTGGTTGGCATATTTAGTACCGGAAGGATTAAACAGAACATGTTAATGCAATAAAAATTAAATGATTGAGAAATCAGTCGGTTTTTCCCGGGGGAGGCAAAGTAGACGAAGGAAAAAGCTCGAACTTGGAACCAAAATTTTTGCTGCACACTGAAACTTTTCCTCATGAATATGGCTCTTTACAGGAATAAAACTACACATGACACCAAGAAGTAGGGATACATTATTATGTTACTTTTCAGGAAAATAAAAAGCACTGAACATTGCTCTTGTTAAGTGCTCCAATCACGAAATCAGAAAATCGACAAGGCAAAACCTAACAAGCGAGCAGAAAACTCTCGAAAGAAAATATTACGAAAGACCATATAACAGATTGCAGAATGAGTAAACGTATATAAGAATGTCGTGATTACTGATGACGACACCGGTTCATAAACTATGATTGGCCTCCGAAAGCCTCAGTATGGTTGGGGGTGGGTGTCTTGGGTTGTTGTTTGTCACCCTTCCATTGCACCTCGCGAAATGCTCTCTTATATGGGCGAGCACACTCGGATACTAGTTAGTGTACGATGGGGCAAATTGTTTTCGCGCATACTGGCCACGTTCATTAAAGAGAAGAAAGATCCTGAGCTCAAAGCTCGCTCTTCGCTCTCCAGTTTGAGTGGAAAGTATTGATTTACGCCACCCTAATGTCTATTTCCGGTCAAAAGAACAATTCCGAGCAAAAATTATCTGATGATACCCGTCCTAACCAGCTTTTACTACTCGCACAAAATAAACTTAAGTAACACATACAATGGCGAATTATCACACTGATGTTGGGACAAAGGTATAAGTGTGTACATTTGTGAACCAAAAACCGAAAAAATAGTTTGATTAGTCTTATTCACTCGTTTGGTTACGATAAATTAACTGGTCAAACAAGTGCGCCACTTAGAGGGGAAGATAGTGTAACCCCAGGAAAGCGTATCATTGATACTACCGAAGATTAGTGCCGGGACCAGTAGAGTCATGTACTCCACGAAAATTATAGAATCGGGTTCAGTAAGATCACACAGGACGGAACATACGATTTGTAGCAGTTGGTTAGTATTCTCGTGAACGTCTGTTTGTAGGTGATCGTCAGTCCGACATTGTCTCTTCTGTAGTTCCAAATAATAAGTCCTTTGATCCAATCACAGATGCTGTGAAAATCCAACAACCGCTTCTTTGTGCGCGAACACTACTTACAAACGCGAGCAGTATCTCAGAACACTACTACTATCGACCGATTAAAATGGTCGTAACTGCACATGCAAAAGCAACGTTTACTCTAACGATATGCGATTAAGTTGAAGGTAACAAAAGTAGTGTAGTAGCATTTCACCGCTACATTTGTTCATAAACTCTAGATAGAATACTTCTCAAAAGAGGATGAAAAGGGAATGGATAAAGAAGATTGATAGATAAATTCACTAATCACTCACTTATATTTGGGTGGTTCAGTGTCTTCAAAACCCGCACCTCACGAAACAACTAGTGAAAAGAATAAAGGAGAGGATAGAGAGGAAAAGTAGGAAAACATCAAACAGTTGGAATTTTCATTTGACGATAAAGTATTTGCTTAGGAGGAAAGGCCAGTCATTCAATCGAACATTTACATTCCTAATTTGTAAAATGCATGATGGGTGATCAGCTGATGATCAATGGTATTGACCACCATCGCGTTCATTTTTTAAGAAGATACGACTAGCGCAAACTAGCAGAGAGAGAAATAGCTGACCGTAACTCATTCGGACCCATAGATGACCCCAAAATATCATCAGGGTAGTGTGGACTACACACCAGGATTTCTTTTTCTTCTACTGTGACGAGAAAACGACAGACTGCAACGATTCTATTTCTATCCACGTTATCACCACTGTCAAAGTCCTTTTGGGAATATGGATTCAACAATATTCTCATGATAGCGCAATAGTGGAATGACGTGATACAGAATCCTACGCTTGATTAGATAATACCCTAGAAGATTGCTTTCCAATTAAGCATATCAAAATCAACTGTACTAAAACAAGCAGTTTGACATGAAAATAAAGCCATCCGTAACGGAATGTAGTTAGAGATGCTTGTCTAATGGCACCAGGAAGTGCTTGTTCGGGCAGCGGGAAAGAAAAACGAGTTGGGTGGTGGTGAGTGGGNTGATCCCCACAGATGCATTCAAGTGCACCGAATCCACGCACCGGCTAGCTGAGAACCGCCAGTCAATCATGACCCAGTTGCATTCTATGCGTCCGCACGCAGGCGCTTACCGTGGTCAGGTGATTTCTAACACCCAAGTCCACATCGCTGGACTACATACTACACACGCCCGAATTTCCGTCGCCTAACCTATGCCCCCTCTCCATTGCCCACTGTCACACACATGCACAAGTATCTCACATCACATCAAAAGACGGACATACAATGAACGGGGCTTGCTGGAAGTGGACACTCACCTTTTGCATGCTGGAATGGTTCAAAAGGGTTTTATCGATCACCTTGACAGCAACCTGAAGAGTGCAACAAACGAAAAATCATTTACTGATGCACAGATATATAAGTATGTCATGATTTGTGGGTATGTGTGCACGAATCAAGCAAGCACGGACTGCGGCTAAAAAGGAAGAACGTAAACAAAATCCGGTTATGTTCATTTTTCAAAGACCTACGCAGATGTATGAAAAACGGAGGGACTAAGTATAGAGTGAGAACGATTCACAATCGCAATGGCAGGTGATAGCACGAGATTTATGCAATCGTTGTGACAGATTGATAATCAATCGCCTAATCTAACTAGAAAGGGACAGTCTGATACCAAATTCGTCTCGTTAGGTAAAAGTTGCATGAATAAGACTATTCAATTAGATGACGTTTACTAAAAACACTATCAGTTGTTGTTTCTGATCCTCACAACAGGACATATGCAGATTGAAGTGACCAACATGAATGACAATAGAAGAATATCTAAACCAAGTTGGAATATTCATCGCCCTGGAAACAAATCCGTTGATGAAAAGTCCGATAGAGGGGTGACATGGAAGTATCTGAAATTCACTGCCACTTAGAGTTTGAATTCTGCTTTCGTTCCAATTGTATTTTATTGTACATAACTTTTGCAAGCACTGAAGCTTACAGTTCATCCAAATAGTATACAAACCAACCGTCACAGAGAACATATTCAACGAGGGAAAAGTGTTTACAGATATAGGGATATTTCATAGTCCATACCATGCACTTCAAGATGGGCTGTTCCCATCGCCATGACACAAATCTTAATCTCTTCGTACGACACATCAGACAAACAACCAAGCAACAATGGTCACCATCCCGACTCGGTGGTCATGTGTTCGAACTCCACCACTGCCATCATCATCATTAGCGACACCGAAGCCGCCGAAACCAATAATGCTGATTTTTGTCACATAACAGCCCTTTAATTGGATGCTTCATACGTCCTGAAAATTGTTTGCACAATCCTGTATTCGATTCAAAGTTCAGACAACCCGGTATCCAATAGGAAGTATGTCCGAGGAGTGTGTCAGTCATGAAGTAATGATGACCACTGTCTTCTCCTGAGTCTTCATCATTCTCGTCACTTTACCACCTTCCAAGGATAAACCAGTTTAGAAGAGGCATAATTAAAATCCGTTTGATTTTTCTGTAAGTTTACGAGTCGTACCATTATCATAACAGATTTATGTGTTTGGATTTCCGATTAATATTGGAAAAACGAGGGCGGGAAAAAGCATTTCGCAGCCAGAAAAATCACTCTATCTATCCACTTCAATTGTCACCTTGCATAAAGCAACCCAGCCAGATAATGAAGCGTTCGAAAGGAAATCAATAACTTTATCCATACACAAACTAAGGGAAAAATCAGAAACTGTGAGGTGCAGAACAAAAGAATATCTACTCCACCACATCACATGATCGTCTCCTACATCTTGTTCAATCTTTTAAAACCACATTGTGCATCCAATAAGGTGAACTTTTAGCATTTCCGACAAGTTATAGCGGATAAAAGGTGGATATGAAACGATTACGAAGTGAGAAACACCTGAATGCAATAAAGAGAAAGCAATGCGATAGGTGATTTTTTCTAAGCGATAATGACAGTTCTCTGATTTCCTTTTTTATCACGTAGTGTCTGCTTCAGCCTAGTGGTGAAATATATGAATATATATTCCTATAAGCTATCTTCGACAAAGAATACGGTAGTCTTCGGAATAATATCTGTCATTAACTCCAGACCGAGAAGAATAACCCAGACAAGCATTAATCTTTACCGTGTACTTGGGTCAAGCATAATCATAGACCTATGCTCGAACTCATGCAGTGAACAAAAAAGACTTGTAAATTTATGAAGCACCGTCTCCTCCTCCTGTTCCATCCCCAAGAATAAAGAAACAGTGCAAATGATTTACGTTAAACGATGGAAAAATGGTTCGAACAGTCTCATAAGAATCTAAACTTGATTTGATTCACTGCGGGAACGATGCACAAAATTGACCAATAAAATCTTGGACAATCCACAGCTGCTAGCGAAGCTATGCAAACTTTTGTCACCCGATGTGGATGCAGGTACAAACTCTTGACAGTCTTGAATAAGTACTCTGCATTTTATTTACGGTGGCACTTCGTGCAGTGGGCAACGAACAGCATCGGAGAGCTGTTTGGTCCTCGCTGAGACCCGTCGGCAGTGTGTGACTCACACAAGAACAATAAACAGCTATGGTGACAGTGGATACTAGTGGGCCAAATAAGTATTTCAATGAAAATTGCAATGGCTGCTTCGAATCTTTAACAAAACTTGAATGGACTTTGACTCAAGTCTGAGATTATGAATCGCGAAGCAATGCGCGTCGTGTCAAAAATGCCATAAATCCTTGTGATACATGAGGGATAGAATAGAGGAAATGGGCATGCAAGAACTCAAGCGATATACGGAAATATCGAACTAACCTGCATTCCTGTGGTTAGATGTTGGGCTAATTTTACCTTGGCGAAATTTCCTTTTCCAATTGTGCGAATTAAACTGTACCGACCAACATGGGGTCGATCTTTCCACAATGGGCGATGCCCAGAATTCTGAGATGACACCTTTGAATGTCCGTTGTTAGTATTGCTACTGTTGTTAGTCGTGCTGTGGTTACTCGTGTTGGTTTTGATCCCCGAACTAGTGCCCTTTCCTGGCACCGCACTGCTAGACACCGGGGTGACCGATGAATTGTTGTAGTTGTTGTGTTGTGCGGTCAGATTGCTGGTCCCGTGCGTATATGGTGATGCGCATGTAGGCGGATTGGAAGTGTTAGAAGTCCAGTAATGAAAATTGGTCGGTGGTGAATGCATTGACATTGACATTAAGTCTGGTGTGTTGGACAGTGCACCACCATTTGGTTGGCAATTCCTTGAGGATGAACGGGTTGAAGTGTATGTTGAGTTCGTAGGATGGGGGCCAGGCGAATTAAATCGTCCAGGACTTGGGGTGTTCATATGGCTATTTTGACCCAGGCCATTGTTCATGGGCGGATTTTGTTGCATATGCGGCATGGTCTGTGAAACCACAGGGGGTTGATGCGGTTGCGCAGATTGTAAACAGAGCGGAGCACGAGGATGCGAGGATGCGGGCATCACCGGAGAGCCAAGGCCGGTTATGGGTGCTGTGTTTTTGTAGTAGTATGCATGCATGGCAGGAGCAGTTATTGATTGCGGCACGACAGGACTAGGACCAGTACAATAAGCCGAGTGAGCACTGGATGGCATGATACGTCAACCGCAAACATTTACCGACCTGTTCGGGGCAGGCAAGAGCGTGCCAATACCCACGAAGACAATCACAGAAATTGATAGATCAGAAGTGTGCGTAGATCGGACGACCAAAGATTTTTGACATCCAAAGAGATTTGACAGGAACAAGTGCGCCACAGGGTATGCTACAGTACTGCCGTTTGCGATGGAAATAATACCCCCAGACCTCTGAATCTGTAGAAACGGAAACAGAGAAGAGAAAACATACGATCATGCAACATGAAACGCATGAGCCCGTAACGTTTGGTAGATTATTTTTTTGTTACACACCTTGGTGTGGTGAACGACAGACGGGAAAGCCAAATAGTCACGAGGACCTGTTGTTCAGTGGTGGTAACCGGTAAACTAAGCCCCTGGACTTGAAGTGGCGAACCATGTAAGGCCCCGATAGGTTAGCAGTGGTATTGAACCGGACGACAGAAAAGCTGCCTACCACCAGATCCCATCATATCATATATATTTATGTAGTTTCACACACATCTGAGTTCACACCTTGTGCCAAACAAATCATGGTCAAATAATCTTTATAAAAAGAAAACAGGTCTATATCTTATAGCTTGTAATAATAATAAAACAAGAGATTCACTCATTTGAACGCCTTGGGTTTGGCACGTAAAATCGGATTGGAAGCATGATCCAGTCTGTAAAAAAATGAAGGACTGACAGCTCTTCCCCCGAGTTGTGATATTCGTATTGACGGTGGATAGAGTAACAGTCACCAGATTCATGACTAGCCGCGAATAAGGTGAGCTCAGCTCACTCAATAGGCAATGTACTAGGGCGTGGTAGGTTTTCACTGTATCAAAACACTCNGACACTGTGACATGAAAAACGCGACCTGCGACTTATAAGGCTATCGCAGTTTGTCCTATTTGTCCTGCTTAACAAGGTGTCAGAGGTGAATGAATGAAATCAGGAATAACTCTGCTGTCATGTAGGTTGTATTTCGATGCAAAAATACTTCATGTGCAAACCTGGATAAGAAGGCCGAACGTCGCTGCGACATCGCTTGCAATCTCACACATGAGAATTTCTAATGATGAGTTTTGTTCATGGAGCAGATTCATCTTCCATCTAGCACGAGATGGTTGCATAAGTTCTAGAATAAGTTACCATGCTAGTTTTATCCATTCACTTCCTATGCTCGATGGATCTAAAATCAATGACTATCTAGTTACAAACAAGCCATCAACCCAATATGCAAGTATATCTTCAAATTGAAGAGTTTCCAGGGTATAGTGCTCACTTCGGTTGGAATGAAAATGAAAATTTGTTAATTTAACTCGTCATTCAATAGAAAGTAAAGTATGAGTGATGTAGTTAACAAAAATGATGCGATTGAAAAAAAATAACCAGCTTAACAAATAGGTGGGGTCAGTATGGTTTCATAAATTTGGACTATTCCGATCCATGATACAAGCTACTACCTTTTCCGAAATGGGGCAAAAGACAACTTTAGACTCTAGTGTCACGCTCACGGTTCCCCGGCGAATACAATAACCTAATTTGAGAATTCATTTCACAGACCGGTTGTAACACACTTGCACACTACAATTTTAAAATTCCCTACGTTTACGAGTTATTCCAACAGCACTGGCAGTCGAAGAAGTACATCGAAACAATAAACGCAATTAATTGTACTCCGGAACGGTTAACACTTACTTCAGATCATTTCGTAACCTTGTAGCGTGGTGCGATGGTTCTGGTTGCCGTCATTCGGTATTGTTTCATCGGATAATGAGGGAAGAGTAATTGAAAGATTTAAAACGAAATAAACCAGATTTCGTTAGAAAGTTGGTAGATGCACAAGGCCACTGTTTGTGAAACGCAGCTATATCACCCGGTGTGTCTAATCATAAACTCAGTCGTTCACGAGTCTACAACTATGAAGCTAGACACGACCTATATGACAAACTTCCTTTTCCGGGGTTTTCATATTGCCATACCATATCTTAATTTCACCAACCTTGACTTGCTAACGACTAATGTGTCTCAGCTAAACTAACGTGAAGTCAGTGGGGTAAACAAAGTGAAGTAAATCAACTTATCATAAATAGACTTGGGCCACAAAAGGATACATCTATTAGCGCGGCAGTCAAACAGCATAAGGCTGGCCATTTAAATTGCATCCCAAGTCTAGCGAATTGAGCATCTTATATTGAAGTATAAAAACGATAATTTGGTTGTTTTCTCTTGTTTTTTTCGTTTTATGTACTTTGTTTCCCCTCATTTTCCTTCCCCTTGCTGGTACACAAATCCACCATGTCGGTTACCATTGTTCATGTGTTGGCACCATGTCTGACATCAAGCCGATGCGATAGATATCCGCTTTATCAATCAAATCCGATATTAGGTGGTAAACAGCTTTGTTGTCGCCCGGTTCTATACCACGCCTAACCTAGTGGGGCCTTATGTGGTTCACCATTCCAAGTCCCGGGGCTTAGTTTGCCAGTTTCCATCACTGAATAGCAGGTCCTCGAGACTATGGGGCTTTCCCCATCTGCTGTTCATCAAACGAAAGTGTGATAAAAAAATTTGCGAATAGCGACCCCTAAAAGCGTAATGGGATAGACTAGGAAACACAGCCTAGGGACAAAAATGGCTGAATCCGTAAGGTCCGTGTAACAAGAAGAGATAAGCAGGGTGTTTATGAGATAAACCCCATAATCCTGAAAGTTACTGTGCGATGGGGATGTAGGAACATTCATCTGAATTACAAATTGTCCAGTGACCGCGATAAGTGGTGAATAGGAAAGTGTGGAGATGAAGAAGGCCGCGACCATTGGTAATAGTTGCATTGTTTTCCGTCTAGCTAGGAATACGGGCCCGAGGAAGATAGGAGTGGGGTAATAACGGAATCTGATGTCACACTGATTCGTCATCAGCAATGCCATCTTGGTCGTTGGGTTGAACATTTCGAGGCTCAGTTCAACTGGTCCCCATCGACATTTAACCTATCACCACCACCCCCATTTCGACGGAAAATCAGTTTCATTTTTAGTTTTTACAACCATTAACCATGCACTTTTGTGCGCTGGTTTTGGTTGCTGTCTTTTGGCCGCCCATTTGGATAAAAGAGCAGAATGAAGATTGGAATGTTTAGAGCGAGTTCAAGCGAAAGTTAGGGAATTCACATAGACAGGTTGCAGGAATACTGATGCATGAGCGCCACTGTTTGCGACACCCAGACATATCGCCCAGTGTCTCTAACCATCCCTGGATACCCTCGGGTTAAGCAGAGCTGCGCGTCCTCCGGTTGCGGATGGGGGGATTATATTATATTTCACACTTGTCTGAATCCAGATTGTGTGCGGAATAAATCATGGTATAATAATATTTATGAAAAAGAAAAACGTTCCATGATTTGCATGTGGGCGAAATAGTTCCAGGTTGCCCAGGCCAAAGCATGTGAATTTTCTTGAGGAATCCACAACCGAAGCCTTCGGCTAGCCAAAGCCTGAATCGCAATTCAGCGGGGCGGTGTGTGAAAACCGCAATCCATTGGGAGCCGGTGTCCAGTTCATCGGATCATACGCTCTTCGGACGGAGTCAGACGTCAAAGGTGCCCAATACAACTCAATGCCCGATCGAGTCGGTGACTACTGCCACAACCGAAAAGGTGTGGGTGTGGTTCGTACGCCGCCTCATGGTTGGTTTGGAATCAGGGTTTTTGGCCAACTCCCCTAGGTGAAGTGCCAGTGGTCCACCAATCCGGCTATAGCCCCGGATGTCGGCTTTTCGTCCTCTCGCTTTGGTGGGAAAACACCGCCGCGAGAAGGCAGTGAGTAGGGCTCCCTCAGCAGAGGCTATTTGAGACGCTTGGTCGTAAGGGAGCACTTCGTGAGGTGCAAGGGCAGGATGACCAGCCGCAACCCTACACACCCACCCCCGACCATACTGAGGCTTTTGGATGGGGTGGATACCTTCACCGAAGAAGGTTAACTGTGAATAAGTTGTGGCATACTGCAACAAAAAAGCAGTCGCGAACAAACAGCGGCGGCACTACCAGGGTGTGGTGGGTTTCAGGCTGATCACCTGGCTCTTCTTTAAAAGCCCCATAAGCCCAATGACGATGTTTTGACAAAGGTAGATGTGACTGGCCCATTAAAACTAAATTCATTGACCCCTTCACTTCCGCGGCGAGGGATTACTTCCTGCTGTCTTGCAGGTCGCACTTGGCTATGCAAAGGCTAGAAGTGCGCCCTCAAAATAAAAAACGCCGAGTGACACTGGGGATGTTTCTCGTACCAAACTCCCAAGTAACTTCATGAGAATGTCCCCTACAAGCTTCGTTACCCATGTTACGGCGTCCCCGGTAAGCGACGCGCCCCGTGCTCCTCCAATGGTCTGGGTGTCGAAAATGCGAACTGGACCTCCTCAACCTCGAACTTAGAAAGCACCTCTACGTGGGATGCTGAAACGTGGGGACCCTCTTGGACATTGGGAGTCAGGCAGTGACTATGTGCACGTTACAAGACTTCCGTGTGGATGTTGCATGTTTATCCGAAGTACGATTAGCCGGCTTCAGCTCCCGTAGTATCAAGGTTTCCGGACCCGATAGCCACCACTAGTTTTAACATAATGGCTCAGAAATTTCAGGTCAACAGGTAGTGGCGTTAGCGCTGAGCCAGCGTGTCAACGCTATTCTACTCTCTTGGGAACCAATATCGTTAAGGATCGCTGTAGCACGCTTCAAAGGTAATCTTACCAACCTCACCGTGGTAGCAGTCTAAGCCTCACTCTACCATCCGACAGCGTAGTGAAGGACGAGTTTTACGGCAGTCTTCAGGAGGTAGTAAATTGCGTCCCCAAGAGAGATCTACTTATCGCGGTGGGAAACTGGAATGCTCCAACAGGTGGGCAAGGACCTTCAACAAAACATAATTTGGAAATTTGGACTAGGCCATCGTTGCGAAAATGGTGGAAGGCTAATTGATTTCTACGATTTTAACCGG